AAGAACAGCTCAAGATAGAGAGAAATTCGCTGTAGTTATAGGAAACCTTTAGTAATGGAGAAGTCACCTTTAAAAGAAGATTGTATCAGCAGTAAAAGTTGACATAGGAAGACCTACTTATGCCCAAAAACTAAAAGGAATATTTTATAAAACTGCTATAACACCATAAAGGTTTCTTAATATTGTTCTCAAACTATTTTCTTGTGGCATATTAAAGTAGATATAATTTTAATGGAAATAAGCCAAAATTGGTAGTTAAAATAATTTTACTGACGTTTTAATTTCCACTTTGGAAATCGTTCTCAAAATACAAACATTAACGTTGAAAAATGGCAGTACGTACACATAGTCTGTCCAGGTTTCAATGAACAATATGGTTAGGGGTTATTATTATGTGATATTTTATAAAAAATATATGAATTAAATCTAATGATTTTGCGAAATCACTAAGTTATTATAGGTTGAAGAATGTGAAACACCTACATAAAATGCGTAAAAATTCATCTATCAATTTAGTGATATTTACCAATACCAAACAACAACAATATATATTTTTTCTCTGGTACAAGATGATCAAACTCATCTGGGATCTACAAAGTTTAAAGAATTTATATGCGACAAACAATAAATTATGGGTGACAATCACAAAGTCAAAATCATAAGCTATAACAAAGTCAACCTTGCAAATAAGGATAAGGTGATCTCATCAATTGTTTAAAGAACCTAACAGTTATGAAAAGATGAAACGGAAAAAAATACTACCAACTCTTTTAAATTATCAAAATAGCAGGTGTAACAATTATTTATTATGTTATATAAGAGACTGATAAATTTCACTGAGATTATCATTACGTCTGTTCATTGCAGGTTGTAGCATTTCGAATCACCTTGTATATGTTAAAACACCGAAACATTTTCTCAATCCTTTTGCGTTGTTGGGATTGATAATATAAACATTTCTGGTTTGTATATAATAATTGTAATTGTGTTCCTTTGATCGTGATGCCGGCTAATGTCGCGCTTCAAATAAATATCCACTTAGATTGCTGAGAAAGTTATGCGAAGAGAATGATTTTTAAGAATGACATCACTTTCGGTGGAACCGCTACCAAAATGTGTCGGTTTCATTGCTTAGTCCGGATTTTCTTCTATTCCTTTGATCGTGATGCCGACTAATGTCGCGCTTCAAATAAATATCCACTTAGATTGCTGAGAAAGTTATGCGGAGAAGAGAATGATTTTTAAGAATGACATCACTTTCGGTGGAACCGCTACCAAAATGTGTGGGTTTCATTGTTTAGTCCGGATTTTCTTCTAATTTGTTATTGTGTTGTTCGTTGCTCGTTTTTGTTGTGAAAAAATGTGTAGATAGTAGCAGTGTGGAGTTTAAGTGAATTTAAGCTCAAATGCAATGTGGAAGTTTTTGTTGAGTTAATCACCGAATGGCTGTGTTGTGCCTTATCTGAGATATTTGAAAGACGGCGTTTTCAACCATTTGAAAGGTCCACATGGTTTTAAAAAGAAATTGAGTGGCCGACTTTTAAAGATTGCAGTTTTTTGTCATCCAGGATAATCCAAAGCCCGAATGCAGTGTCTAACTTCCAAAGAATTGTCTATTTGTGTTCCTTAGTTATTTCAGACCAATTTGCAGCTTAAGTGGGACACAGTTGTATGTTATTTTGAAGTGCTTTATTTCAATTCTGATCCCAAAAACTTTCTTAAAGGAAATACATCAGCCAGTGATACAAGGTACTTTTTTTTTAAATTGTTTAAAGTAAAAATAAATAATTTTTCATTTATTAAAAATTTGCTTTCATGACAAACTAAAAGATTGTAAATAAATGAAATTATAAGTTTTATGGATTAGCTAATTATAATATTAGTTCAGGTATTGGCTAAGATCAACTTTTATAACAATCCCTAAAAAACTCAATGCCAAAAAATGTGAACATTATCGAATAATAAGCTTTATGAGCCGTCTCCTGAAAACTTTTTTAAAAATTATACATAACAGAATATATAAAAAGTGTGAAGAACACATAAAAAACACACAATTCAGCTTCAGGACTGCATTGGGTACTCGAGAGGCACTTTTTGCAATACAAATTCTCTTTTAACGATGTAGAGACGTGAATTGTGATATATATGTGTGTTTTGTTGATTACCAGAAAGCGTTCGAGAGAAACATGACGAACTGATGACAATATTAAATTCAATTGATCTAGACGACAGAGATCGCCGTATAATAAACAATATCTATTACGAACAAACTGTAGCTGTTAGAGTTGGGGATCAGTTAACAGACGACATAAAGATAAAAAGAGGTGTGCGACAGGGATGTATATTGTCCCCATTATTGTTTAATACATATTCAGAGCACATTATAAACCCAACTCTAACGGACATAGACGAGGGAATACTTAACGGAGAACGATTGAACAACATAAGATACGCTGATGATACTGTCATTTTTGTAGACAGTCTTGAAAGTCTGCAGAAACTTATCTCCAGGGTGGCAGAAGTAAGTAGCAGGTTTGGGCTTGATTTTAATATATAATAGAATACCACCTGGTCAATTAGTAGTTAACAAACAACCTACAATACAAATCACCAGATCTAGTACCTAGATAACTTTTGTTATCTAGGTACAAACTTAAATCCAATAAACTAATCGACGGAAATTAAGATAAGGATCGAGAAGGCAAGATCAGCTTTCGTCAACATGAAAAAAATCTTTAACAGCCACGACATTGAATTAAAAAATTATTTAAATATGGCGTTAACTAAAATGCTACGTATTCTCCGTTCTTTTATATGACGTGGAGTCATGGACCTTAACTGAAGCATGACTGAAGAGACTCGAAGGTTCATTGTATCGTCCGCAGAAATCTCTTGGAGTGAGTACTTTCATTATAATGTCTATTCTATAATTCTGACAGCATTTTCAATATTCAGAACCTTCTTTTAAAGCCACGTTTTCAATTTTATGCATGTAGGAATGTTCCAAAACTTAACCAATCTGAATAACAATTCTACTTCATTTTATCCTTGCCATATGCTATTTGTTTAATTGTGATTTATGTAAAATAAGTGGCAAGAAAGTTATCGCCTTTGATGTCTCGTTAATGCTGATGTTATATTCTAGTTTATTGGGTTTATTGGGAATTGATTGGATATGAAATATTTATTTTGATAATTTCTGAAATTCTATGAAACGTTTTATGGAATTTATGGAATCAGTGCAGCTGTCGGTAAGGCCCACTTACATGCTCTAGAGGCGGCAACAGGACCTAACCACATAATCTGGAGGCAACATCTAAGCAGAAGCAAGCAACCAAAATATGCCATAAGTATCAGTTCCAAATTTATGTATTGTAAAGCTCTAGGCAGGGTTGTTTTTGCTTTGTTTTATGTTGAATAAATATGATTAGTTAAATCATTGTTTTATTTATTACCAGCTAAATTTTCATGGTTTAATTCATAGTTTAAGATAAGATGGATTCACACTTGAGAGACTGAGCTAGGCGAAGCACAGACGATAAGCTCCCATAGTTGATTGAGGTATTATTTTATAATAGTATTTTAATTCTCTTTGGTAGTCTTATCATTACAATAATTAAAATTAATGTTTCAAAAAGGTTTAATATTTCATTTCGACATATAACAGTTCGTATTGTTGTTGTTGTTTGTTTGTGTTTAAATGACTGCGGACACTAAATCCATTCGCCAATCTTACAATTTGAGGTGTAGTGTGTGTGTGTGTGTGTGTGTGTGTGTGTGTGTGTAGAGTAATTGTCTTGATACTTAGCAAAGTCGACGTCATTGTCTTTGCTAAGAGACGCTAATTGTATCCGAACGTCTGCGGTCCCTCCGGTGTGTACCGATCACACAAGGATAGAAATTATTTTCATTTATTAATTTTTTTAATAAACGAAAATTTCCACCCAGGTGGGATTCGAACTCACGACCTTTAGGTTTAAAGGCAGGCGCTCTTACCACTGAGCCACAGAGGGGGTTAACAGTTCGTATTATCACTATCGGACATTTAGTACATAACCATAAATTTGAATTGTTTTGTTTGAAGGTTAATCTCAATGTAACCTCCATTGGGAAATCTAGATATTTTTACGAAACTCAAAATCTGAAGATTTCTAATTCAGTTTTTTGTTTATATCTGTGCATTCTAAGAATTACAAGGCAACACAGACGTTGATGTAAGATTTAACTAGAGAAATGGGGAATCTAAAATTGCATTCTACAACATATCTTCTCAACTAAGCAAAAACTGTGATGAGTGCTGTTCACCCCTTACGGTAAAACATGTGCTAGTGGAAAAGTGGGACAAGTTCAATCGTCACAGAATTACACGCCATTTACCAAACTATCTTAAAGACATTTGAAATTCAAAAAACAGAATAGATAACCTAATTTTGTTTTTAAAAGATTTTAATTTGCTAAGCAAAGTGTACCGTTAAGCTAATAACCATATTAATTTGAAACGGGTTTTTTTGTAAATAAAAAAAACATAAAATAAGACCCAGAAATAATTGTAGTTTACTTTTGTGAAGAGCGTTTGTGAAGACCCTGTACATTCTGTCGGTTTTAATCTAGAATATTTGTAATTCTCTTTACAGAATGGTGCTTTTGTACGAAATAATTTTACCTTTTATATTTTTAGAACAATGCTTTTGTAATTTTACTTTAGCATAGCTTCGAACATAGCCTAGAGGTTTAAATATTTTATTAAGTATATTATACGTTTTACAAACGTCTTTTTTTCTTATTTTTAAATTTCTCCCTGAATTTTAATAAAATCTGATATGAATAATTTTGAATATTTTATTTAACGTGTAGACACTTCCTAAATAGCCCCAAAGAATTATCTGAAAATGTGCTTTGTATGAAAATTAAAAATTACCTGTTAAAATAAAATCCTTTAAACTCGGACATATATTGTTATTATCCATTTTATTATTAGAAAACTTTGTTCAAACACTTACCGACATAATGTGTCGTAATTGATTCCTTTCGGCGACCGCGAATCTATTATAACAAGGTCATGAAGTCTCTGCTGGTACTCTTCCAGAGCCGTTTTATCTGAGTTACAAGTTGTGATTTCAAAGCCTAACTTTTCAGCAGCCTTTGTAATCGTTTCGCCTACTTGGTCCAAAGTAGAGAAAACCGTCAGTATCTGAAAATAAATTAAATTGTAAAAGCTTTTCTAGGTATTTATTTTTGAGTATTTTTTATACTTTTAGTCTTTGTACACACCATAGTTCTCGGTTTTATATTGATATCGATATTAATGGAAGTGAAATAGCTCCGTATGTATTATTTATCAATAATTACACCTACAATTGTTTATTTAAAACCTTTTGCTTCGTTTTTTATAAGCCTAGAATATCTATCAAAAACTTCATCTGTGGTGATATATGGGTGGATCGAGTAGTTCAGGAGTCACCACTGCCGGTCCTAAGCCTGGGTAAATCAGCTCAAACCGCACTTCTGCAAGAACTAAAAAGATATAAGCTCATGATTACTGCTCTTGCTACTCAGGAAACAAGATGGCTCAGGAAAGATGTAGGGACACTAAAGCACACACAATTCTATATAGTTAGAAGAAACAACGAAGCAAATAATGTGGACTTGCATTTGTGGCGGATAATAATTTTAAGTCAAAAATCAAATCAAAAGTCATCCAGGCAGTCAGTAAAAGGATATGTAAGTTAAGAAGTTGCACCCATTTCTTCAACCTAACAATGATAAACATTCACTCCCCAACAGAAGAATAAGAACAACATACAAAGGAAAGTTTTTTAACAACAGCTGGAGTTAGTATATGACAATGCTCCCAAAAATGACATCAAGATTATAATGGGTGATATGAATGCTAAAATAGGCAAGGAGCTGCAGTTCTATGGCACAACAGAAAAACGAAAACACACACTGCACAATGAAATAAGCGAGAATGGGAAGTTTTTGATAAATTGTGCTTAAACTTTGATTTTTGATATAATTTGATATGCTTAAATTTTGATATAAACAGTAAAAACATGATTTTAAGTTCCACATGCTTCCCACATAAAGACATACACAAAATAACAGGGAGTTCACCAGATAAAACCACAACTAATTAAATCAATTATGTGCTGATAGACAAAAGGGCAGCTAGTAGTATCTCAGATGTAAAAACACGACGAGGAGAATGCTGTAGATCTGATCATCTTTTAACAAAGAACAGACCCTTTTTAACAAAAGACAACAAAGAACAAACAAACTGGACATGGAAAAACTAAAGATGCAGAAATATAAAGAAAGTTCGAAGAAAAAGTAGCAAATGAGTTAAGGACGCTAGAACTGCATTCCATAGAGGGCAAATAGAATAATATCAAAACAGTAGTACTGACAGCGGCAGCGTCCATTCTGGGAAACAAGAAAAAGTCGAGAAGAGGAACATGGTTCAATGAGGAGTGTAAACAAGGAATACAGGAAAGAAAGAAAAGCACACAAAATGTATATAAGAAGAACACGAACAAGACGAACAGCATTTAAAGTCGCAAGATGGAAAGCAGACAAGATATGTAGAAATAAAAAAAGAGCCTATGAAAATGGACAAATAAAAAAAATGAAAAAAAATTATAAAAACAACGATACAAGAGGGCTTAGGAATACCTAAAAAAGATAAAAAGTGGGTATAAACCTCAAACAAGTCTATGTAAAGATGAAAGTGGGCAAATAATCAGTGACCAACAGAAAGTCACAGAAACCTGAAAGCATTATTTTCAGACCCTACTTGGTACACAAGTAGAAATGGAAGATAAAATGGGTACGAACTACGTAGAAGAGAATGAAGTAAAGAATGGAGTAGAATCTCCAACCATAGAGGAAGTTCTCGAAGCTATTAAGGCTGGGCAAAACAATAAAGCCCCGGGAGTTGACGAAATACCAGCAGAATTGTATAAGGTAGGTGGCGACCATCTAGCAAGTCACATCAACTGCTCATCAAAGACATATGGCAAGAAGAGAAAATACCCGACGACTGAAAGAAAAGTATAGTATGACCGATCTATAAAAAAGTAGACAAACTCCAGTGCAAAGACTACCGTGGAATTTCTCTACTATGTACAGCATATAAAGTCCTTAGGTATATTATAAACCAGCGGCTCCAACTACTAGCAGAAAACATTATTGGAGAGATTAGGCAGGTTTCCGACGGAAAGATCGACACTGGATGAAATATTTACAGTCAAAAAGATCTTAAGTAAATCATGGGAACATGACATTGATGTTCACAATGTTCTTGTAGACTTCAAACAGGTATACGACTCAGTCAAAAGGAACAAACTCTACAATATATTGGCTGAATTGGCAATACACTAGTTAATTTTCATTAAAGCCACAATGGATAAAACTCAGGCATATGTACAAATACAAAACCGCCGGAGAGACTTTTTCAAAATTTCGCAGGGACTAAAGCAGGAAATTGGCTGGCCTCAACTTTTAAGCTGGTACTGGAGTATGCGATTAGGCAAATGCAAACTGGACGAGAAAACCTACTGACCAACCGAACGGTTCAACTGGCCGCTTATTCCGATAATATTATTATGAGTAGAATATCAACAGGAGCACAGGAAACACACACAGAAATAAAAACGCAAACAAAAAGGCTGGGTCTAGAAATAAACACAAAAAAAAAAATATGATACAGACGAGAAGAAATATAGTCCCACTAAACATGAAGATGACATTAAAAGGTTGAAAAGTACACATACCTGAAAGTAGAGAAATATGCGGACGGATCAGAAGATAGAGAAATACTAAAGAGAATAACGCAGACAAACAGAGCTTATTTTGACATATCCCATATATTTCGGTCTAAAAATGTCGACCAAAATACAGAGATGAGAATCTAGAAAACTTTAATTCGACCAATAGCATGCTATGCAGTCAAGCATTTGTCCTGAAAAAAAAACATCCAAATGCAAACTCGACACATTCGAAAGGTAAGTACTAAGGAGAATACTAGGACCTGTGAGGGAAAACAAAATCTTCAGAAGTCGATACAGCAACGAGCTTTATCAATTTGTAAGGAAGCATAACTGCCAGACTTCATTAAAATACAAAGATTGCAATGGGCCGGACATGTGATAAAAACGGGAGAGGATACGCTGCCAAAAAGAGCAGTTAATGCTAGAATTCAGGGAAAGAGACCGGTTGTAAAGCCAAGAAAGCGCTGGAAAGACACAGTAAACAGCGACTTACAATCCCTTTTAGGAGTCCGTGCATGGAGAAGATCAGCCACAGACAAGAAAGGGTGAAGGCAAAAAATAAAGGAGACCAAGGCTTAATTTAGGCTGTAGTGCCGTAGAAGAAGGCGAAGAAGAATATCTATCAACAGCTAATTCCATGATCTTCAATGTATCTACTGCTGGTACAGAAGACTGCTTAATGTTAACATAAGTTATGTTTAACCGATAGTTTAAGATTTAAAGGGGCGTCTAACAAAACATACGCGCGTCACCGCCACTGTCGACAGAGAAATTTAAAGATAATATTGTGATGTTGTTTAGTTGCAAGTGCAAACAACAACATAAGTTCTTCTGATGAAAATGCTTCTGATGAATCGCAATTATTGGATATATCCTATAACAAATGAAAGGTAAATAGGGAATTGTTTATACTGTATATAAAGAACTAATTGAAGACACAGAAACATCCTTTAATGCAAGCAGAATGTCTAACAAAACATTTAAAAAATTAAAAAGTAAAAGTAAAGTAAAAAGTAAAAAAAACTTACATAGAAGTAAATACTTTCTGTCTATAATCGTATATTTTATTAACCAAGATAACCCTTATATAAGAAATTGTATTAAAACTGCCATTTTTTGTTATTAAGGTATTTTATTTGAAGCACCTATGTACGTTACTGAGATAATATTGCAAAAAAACGCAATGCACAAAAAAATGAACAGCATACATACATCTAGAACGTCAAGAGCAAGCACTACCATTTGTGAGATAACTTATAAAGCAGCGTACATGGATACCAACATCACATTTTTGACACCTTGTAGTTGTTTTTTTATGGCAGTAACGATATTTCGCGGACAAATGGGCAAAGGGAAAACCACAAAATTGAAAAAAGGTATGAAGAGGAAATTTTTTAAAGATATCAGCTCAGAATATATGTCAGAAACTGAACTATGCGATGATGATAAGTTGGACGATCTCATATCAGATGAAAATAACTTCTATATATTATGTGGTAATGGTAACAAAAAATAATAGGTATCGTACAAATGTTTGATATGTTGTCAATAGTCTTGTGCCATGTATACAGGAGAAGGATATTTGTAACCTCTGCGAAGATTTGATTTTTTTTTAATATATCTTTAACTTGGTTTCTTATCTTTTTCTGTATGTTTGTACCTTTAATATTTATGTTCAATAAACTACATTTTTAAAGATCATTTTTAAATTCTACTATTACGCACTATTATACGACATATAAGCACCATTAGCCCAATAGGTCGGGTAATTGTGCGCGTTACACTTATTGGAAATTTTGACTCTCACTGTTCTACTGTTCTATCGTTCATTGAATGCGGTCTCTACCAATATACCTAGGCCAGAAAAGTAGGAAACTGAAATGTTTTAAGATTTTGCAATATGCTGAATTAGACTTAGGTGTGCGCAAATAGCCCAGTGTCCCATAGTACGTCAATAACATACCGAGAATTATAATTTATGTTTTAATGTTACTGATATATAAAATTAGAGTTTGATAATCATATTAAGAGTAAACTAAATCTAAAACCAACAACTTGCGATATCGAGATAGTATCATGATTTTTTCCTGCTCTTGCGTTATGATTTACACTAGAATTAATAACAAGAGTATTCATTAGGTATGGTTCCTTTTTAAAGGCAAATCACATAGGTACGATGATTTCTCTAAAGGACATTCTTAAGTTAAAGGTAATTTTATGTAATCGAATGAACAATTTTCCAATAAAGTCGTTCGAGAAACGCACCTCAAAAATATTGAAAATATCATTTTATCAGTCTTCTACTTTAAAATAATATCTTTCTGAATTGTCAATAATTGTCTAAATTAAAAGATTTTTTTTATATTACCAAGTACCTAACAAAATAAAATAATTCGTTTAATATCTATTTTGAAAACGATTTCCGAAGTGGAAACCCAAATGTTAAAATAAACATTTTAAACTTCATTTATACCTCCAAAAGTACAGAACTACTTTTTTTTGTTTCGAAAAGTTGAAGACCACAGGGAAAAAACTTGATAAGACCAATTTTTGACATTTCTCGTTGTTAATACCACTTTGTACCTTTAATTACATAGTTTCTAAGAGTAACACAATACAGAGTAATAACTCGATAAGTCAAATGATATAAATGTTTAAAAAACCCTGTACAGGAAAAGAACTTGACATGCCCATTCCAAACAGGAAAAAACGTTGATAAGTCCAGATAATCCTAGTAGTTGGTAACAATGGCATGCGACATTGGGTAACATAATTTCTACAGTTTTTGTGTGTTTAAATGTTATGCTATTGCTTAGTTTGTTTTATTTTAAAGTGTAAGTGATTATTTACAACTTTTAATACTTTTATCTGTTAATCAAAATAATCATATCAGATACAAGTGAGTGTTCGAGTCATCACTTACTCTTTGCTCGTGGGAAAAACTCTAAGAATAGGAAAATCTTTGACAGGATGCAAGATGTTTACAAAAGCCGTGAATATTAGAAGTCATTACTATGGATTATAGCAGGAATTTTCCATGCCCTAACATTGAAACCAACGATGTCTACTATAAAATGCAATTATCTGTATATATGTTTAATCTGTACGTGTGCTTTGAAGAGTGAGAGCTATTGTTACATTATCCAGAAAATATTGGAAAGAAAGGTGGAGACGAGGTTTGTTAATCTTTCTCCCACTATATATAATATATATATATATAATATATATATATATAATATATATATATATATATAATTTCCTTGATCCTATGTAGTGTTGAAGAGCTGTATGTTTTCTGGGATTCGTGCTTGGGACAAAACAAAAACAGTGCTCTATTCAAGTTTTGCCACTTTTTGGTCAGTAATATGAAAATACTAAAGCTGATAAAAATAACATACCCTATTTGTGGACACTCTTACCTTGAGTGTCATAAAAATACAGCTTTGATCAAGAAAAATTGTAGGTGTAAAATTTTGAATGATTGGTGCACATACAGTTTTAATAAGGCTCAGAACATCTTTTAACTGCGCATGAGATCAAGTGCCTTAAAAAAGAATAAAAAGAAGAAAGAACCTTAATAAAGTATTCATCATCATCAAATAGCCACTGCTATTTGTCCATTGCTGAACGTAGGCCTCCCGTAAAATTTTTCACCATTCTATCTTGAGCTTCTTGCATCCAGTTTGTGGTGATGCGCTTGATATCATCCAACCATCTAGTCAGTTGTCGTCCTCTGCTTCGATATGCCTCTTGCCTTGGCCGCCGTTCCAGATTTTTTCTGGTCCATCTAACATCCGTTAATCTGGCAACATGTCCGGCTTAAGCCCATTTAGCTATGGCTATTTTTTCAACTACATATGTGACTCCTGTTTCTTCTTATTTCTAGGTTTGGTACTTCATCTCTGATGGTCATACCTAATATTGATCTTTCCATAGCGCGTTGTGTAACTCTTATTTTATCTATTGTTCTTTTTGCCAGAGTAGTTTCTGCACCATATGTAAGAACCGGTAAAACGCACTGGTTAAAAACCTTTCTTTTTAAAAAAACTGGGATAATAGACTTAAAAATGTTATTCAATCTACCAAAAGTAGACCATGTGAGACCTATCCTTCTTTGTATTTCAGTTGTCTGATTATCTCGGCCTAAGCGAATCTCATGCCATAAATATTTGTAAGCAATTACTTGGTCGATGCTATGCTCTCAATCAGAATTTTACCGCTGACTACAGGGTTGGTCATAAATTTTGTCTTTGAGGTGTTAATTTTAAGACCAATTGTTTTTCACACTTTATAGAGTGTTTGCAGCATTTTTGTAACTTTATCAACTCTATCAGATATTAGCAAATCTTAGGTGGTTTAGATCTTTCCTATTTATATTAATTCCAATATCATCCTCTCGTTCCATTTGCTTGAACATATATTCAAGAAAAGCTTTAAATAATTTAGGGGAGATAGTATCATCCTGTCTAATTCCACGTTCTATTCGAAATTTCTTGGTATCTTCATGAACGACGACACAAGCTGTACCAGTTTCGTAAATACTAAATCAAGGCGATATATCGGTATTATTTATTCGCATGTTTGTCACCTCTACATCTAATGCATTTTCATTTAGATGTTCCATTTCTTTCAGTTCTGAAGTTATGAGATTTTGATAAGCTAATCTATCTCCTATCGATTTCCATTTATTAGAACGCCTCACTGTTATCATTGCTGTCCTCTCTCGTCTAATGTTGATCATTAATTTTGTTCTATCCAACCAATGGTCACTCCCAACAGTGATTTTATTAATTACTGTAACATCTTGGACAATATTTTTTCTATTGTTCTGAAGCGCCAGAAATTGTGGAAAATTGTGGAAATTGAAACGTCAATAAACGTATTTTTATCTTTAATTGTGGCTTATTCCCAGTTAAATAGTAATTAATATTTTTTCTATTTGTGATGACGAAATCAATTTCGTTTTTTGTTATGCCATTTGGACTAGCCCACGTCCACTTACGTTGTTACTTCTTCTTGAAAATGTGTTCATCACATAGAGCCGACGATGCAACAAAAAATGTAGTAGCACACCTCCTCTATCATTTCGATCACCGTATCCAAATGAGCCCATAGCCACTTATTATTATTATTTTCTGCGTTATTTTCTTTAAATCCAAGTTTAGCGTTAAAATCGCCGATTAAGATTAGGTGGTGGGTTTTATCTTTTTCTATAGCTCTATTTATATCTTCATAAAAGTTTTCGATTTGTTCATCGCTATGGCTCGTCGTCGGTGCATATACTTGGATAATTTTAATAGAGCGTCTCTCGTTCAGTTTTAATATGAGGTACACAACTCTGGAGCTAACACTCTCTATTTTTATAATTTTATCTAGGTGTTTCTTGTGTACGAGAAAGCCTACGCCGCCAACTGCCTGATCATGTCGTTTACGGGGAAAGTTAGCCACAATATCACGCTGGCCAGTGCGAGTTGGTAGCGGGATATATAGGGATGTGGTAGGATTGGAAAACGGTAGGAAGCTATGTTGGGGACCTGGCCTCTCCTAAAGGCTTGGACATAGGAGAAAGTCAGTAGCTAGCGTACGGCAGGGACGTCACTCCCTATAGCAGCCTGTCCTCTACCGGGATCGTAGAGGAGTGCTACCTGCTACCGCAACATTATATTGTGGAATTATATTGTAAAGTTTTTTTGTATAAAAATGTTTTATTTGATACTTTTTGTAGTTAAAACCTGTTTGCTTTATTTCTGATTTTATAGGAAAAGAACTTGGTAAGCCCTTCTTTACAGGGGACAATGTTCACTGGTTAAGAAAAGTAATTGGTTAAAAATATATGACCTTGGTTCTTAACCTCAGGTTTCTATAAAATCATGATTTTTATATGCTAAACGTTAACGGTTACGTTAAATTTATCGTAAATCCTTTGACATAAACATATCACTGATATTAAGGCTTTGTGCAGTTTGTATAAAATTTCCATGTATTCACGTTGAATCTACTGTAATACTGAAAATTAAACTCAGAAAAACTTACTTTTAATAGTCGCGAAGGCGGCGTTATTTGTCCAAGTTTCACTTCGCTTGTTGCTCTCTGAAAAAATAAAAAGAAATTACTATATTACTAATTATATTTATATTTCATTCAAATTAGCTGTAAAGGTACGTAAAAAACTACATGTAGTTTTACGAACTGGAGAAATGAACAAAACTTTCCAAGGTATTATAATTTAGCATATTTATCTGCTTTAACAAAACAAGGAAAATGTTAACATCGCACAAATTTCGCTAAAGTATTTTATCATTTGTTGAGGAAAATGCTTAGACGACGAACATCACTACAATAAAAACGTTTTGCAAGTAGTGTTTTGACTAGAATGAAAATTTCAACAGAAACAACTGACTTCGCAGAGTAAAATATACAATAATAATAGAAAAGAAAGTAATTGATACAATAAACTCTATATTTCGGTCAAAAACAACCTCAACTTTGGCAGTTAAACAAACAGTCAGAAAAAAAGGTACTGATATTCGACATGGATTTTTAGCGAAGAAAGACAGTTTTTGTGGAGATCCAATAAAAACTGCTGTGATGGTTTTTCCATATACACAAAAAAAAAATAAAAAGTTACAAGGCAAAACAGAATAAATAGTCTAGTACTGGATGTCAAAAGAAACCAAACTCGGAATACAAGATAAATAGAATTACAGAATAAAGTCCAATAGGAAGAACAAAGAGATGACGTGAACTCAAAGATCGTTTAAAGATGACGTGGACAAGGAAATTGAAAGAAATAACATGTAAGTTGAGGTTGGCAGGTTACAAAGATTAGGAGAAAAGATTAAGATAAGAAATAAAGTGAAAATTGTAGCAATCCTTAATAGTAATTGTGGGCAAAAATACCGAATTTAAATGAAGCTTAGGACCACTCAACGGAAGTAGAAGTATGTATTGAGGAAGAAAAATCTATAGTCTACAAAATGCATAAGGTACCATGCTGGTGTAAACTGGATAAAAATATAAGACAAATTTTAAGAAAAAATTTATCTTAAAATTTTAAATCAATAATGATATCCAAACTACTGACCTTGATAAAAAAACAAATTATGGTTTATTTATTCATAATTTTAAAGTAAAATTGTGAACATACCCTTTTCTTGGGTAAATAATGAAAAAAAAAAAAATTTCGATTGAAATTTTTTGTTCCACTACCGGAAAGTAGAAATTTCAATAAACAAGAAGCCCACTGACTTTTTAAAAAAAGCTGATATTTTGACGTGGAAATTTTCGATTGAAAATAAGGGTGCTTTTTCGATATTAAATCAATATCAGGTCAAAAAATTTATTTTTTGATTCCCAAAAATTACAGTGTGTTTGGTACATACTAAGGCAAGTTTTCATCAAATTTTGTAAAAAAAAATTTTTGTAACAGATAAAAAGTAAAAAACAAAAAAACTTAGTTTTTTGAATTTTCCACACAAATTTTAAGGTTATGTGAAAAAAGTGTAAAAACAAATGTTGTAGATCTTTTTATTACCTACAACTTTGGTATTATACGTCAAAAAACTGTCAAACTTAAAAGACGCTTTTTGAAGTTCCTTACAAATTTTTAGATATTTAAACAGTATTACATACAGTTCTGTAATAGTATTTATAGAAATTAGACGTGCAATAATTTACAATTAATATTGTGCTTTAAATTGTGAAATTTGTGGCGTTGGCTAACAACAATATCGTTTATTGAAATACCTACCGTATGAGTGTCAATAGCGAGGGGAGACCCCCTGACCACAAAAAACCCTCAAAACCAGGTATGTCTGGAAATATATTCGATAATCAAAGTGATGCCGAAATGGATCTTTCTGTAAGTACTCCAACACCAATAAATTTGATGAATAATGCAAATACAACCCTTCTGAATGAAACACAACAAAAAGTAACAAAACAGGTAAGGCAAGCATTTTTATTCAATAGTAATGATCTAGGCCCATATCATGTATATATCGAGAACAGCTCTACTGAGTTTAGAGGTAAACTTAATCCTTTAAAGATTTGTGAAATTATTTTATCTAACTTTCCTGAAGCAGACAATATGATTTCAAGTATAGACGGCATTGGCCGAAATAGAATTAGAGTCAAATGTAAAGATTATAAAACTGCTAACAACCTCATCAAAAACAAAACTCTAGAAATATTTCGTTCAAATAATTTAGATCTGTATATTCCAAAATTTATTTTGCACAGACAAGGAGTTATTAGAGATATAGACACAGATTTGTCGGAAGAGTATATTAAAAATAAAATTAAACAGTATGATAGTCATTGCATATTTGAAATTGCAAACGTTAAAAGAATTACACGAAAAGTAGAAAAATTTGTTAATAAGGAAAAAATTGTCGAATATGTCCCCTACTAAGTCTTGTATTGTGACCTTTAAATCGCAAACTTTACCTAAATATATAGTCATCAATAAGGTTGTTAAAGAAGTTGAAATATGTAAACAGAAAGTTTTGTTTTGCTTTAACTGTCTTAGATACGGCCACTTAGGAAATCAATGTAGAAGTCAGCCAAGATGTAACAGATGCCAAGAAACTCATAATTCAAAGGATTGTACAAAAGTTGAGTTCACAAAAGTATGTTTCAGTTGTAAGGGGAATCATTTGACTACAAATTTAGGCGATTGCCCAGAATTCACATGAAAAAAGTTAATAAAAGAGACTATGGGTTTAACAAACATTAATTTTTACGATGCAAATAAACAAGTGCCTAAGAATTCATATGCTAGTATTCTTAGGAATAATACAGCCAACAATATTACAAATTCTCCACAAAATTTACAACCTTCTACTTCCTACCAGGTAAATAATTTTGCTAAATTTATATTTAATCCTCACACAAACACCAGTAGGCCAAATAAAAGGCAGAAACCAAATAATTCAGACCCAACTGATATAGCTAGAAAAGAAATAGTATCTACAGTTTCCCCTCTAAAACATCCTGAGGGAATAGTTAAAAGTCAATTCTACCAAAAAAACTTAAACATTACAGATTCACAGTCAGAAGAGTTAAATTCTTCTGTAATAAATGTCATTTTAGATTCGGTTCTTACAATTGTTAATTCAATTAAACAAAATAATAATTTTAATATTTCAAAAGCTGATGTAATTCAGATAATTAGTAACCATTTTAACTAAAATCTAGCATCAAATTCGCAGACTTAAATAAAATAAACGTATTACAGTGGAACTGTCGTTCAGCAGTTGCTAATAAAGAGAATTTAGAATATTTACTTCATCAAAACGACATCACTATAGCTCTATTATCTGAAACCTGGTTCAAACCGGGAAAATATTATAATTTTAAAGAATTTAATTGTGTTCGAGCTGACCGCCCTGATGGATATGGCGGTTGTGCCATCCTCTTGAAATCCAACATAATATATGAAGAAATAAATTTTCAAAATACGTATTCGTTCACATATAAGTGTATTTCAATAAAAATTTCACATTTCAAGAAACCTTTACATATAATTTCTCTATATAATGAACCCAGGAACAAAGTTTTAATGCAACAATGGATCACTTTTTTAGAAAATATACCAAAACCATTTATAATTGGAGGCGATTTTAACGCACACAATTTGGCATGGGGCTGCGAAATTGATGATAGATTAGGTAAAGATCTTCTAGATGCTACCGAATACTGTAATTTAGAATATTTAAACGACGGGTCCCCCACTCTTGCTATTTCCAATAAACCTTCTGCTGTAGACTTAACTATTTGTTCCCGAGATATTGCCTCTTATTTTCGTTGGAGTACTTTACAAGAACCTTATGGATCCAATCATTTGCCAATTATTTTTTCATCACAGATCCAGCAGCAAAGTTTCTCAGCAGCAGAAGACAGATCCAGTAGAAAACATAGAATACGGAACTTTAACAGAGCCAATTGGATGATGTATACCAGCACTTTGGAATCAATGAAAATACCATTAATCTACGAAGAATTGGTAACAAATATAAACCAGGCAGCCAACGTCGCTATCCCAAAACATTCTTCCATTAAAGAAAAAAACAAAGGTCATATTTCGAAACCATGGTGGAATAATCATTGTCAGTTAGCAGCTGAAAATAGAAAACATGCGTTTATAAATTATAAACAGAATCCAACGCTCCAAAACCTAATGGAGTTTAAACGACTAGATGCTATTGCAAAAAAAATCTTCAAACAGAAGAAAAAGAAGAATTGGATTGATTTTTGCGAAAGTCTAAACTCAAGAACACCAATGAAAGATGTCTGGCGAAAAGTTAATTGTTTTAAAAACCGCAAACAAGCCAACAAAGTACCTATTGATCCAGAAGATACATGGTTGCAGGAATTCCATAGAAAAATTGCTCCGGCATGGGTTCCAAAGGACGACACTGTACAAAAACATATCCAAACAGTACCCAGACAAAACCACAATTTTGACGAGAATTTTCATTTATGGGAATTGCATCGTGTCCTTGAACAAAGAAATAATACTTCTCCAGGTATTGACAATGTGTCATATTCGCTATTATACAACCTACCTATAGAATATAAAATTTCACTAGTAAACATTTTCAACAATATTTGGACAAATAAGACACCAGTACCAAATAGTTGGAAAGAGTATCTGGTAATTCCCATTAAAAAACCTGGCAGACCAGAACGTGATCCAAGTTCTTACCGACCTATTTCCTTATCTTCATGTCTTTTAAAAACGTTTGAAAGAATAATTAAAAATAGATTTGAACATTGGCTAGAACACGATGGTATACTTCCAAGTTTCGCTTTGGTTTTCGCAAGTCTAGGTCCACTCAAGATGCAACTACAGCTCTAGTTACTTAAATTCAGCTTAATTTTACATCAAATAAGTCTACAGCAGCTGCGTTCCTTGACATTTCTGCTGGTTTTGATAATGTCAATTTAGACATTCTTTACCAAAAAATGTTATATATCGGAATCCCTAGATCATTTGCTCTCTTTTTAAAATCTTTATATTCTAACAGACTAACTTTTTTAAAAATTAATAATGAGGAATTTTCATACCCCCGACTAACTAACATTGGATTGCCACAGGGGAGTATTTTAAGCCCGATTTTATATATCCTGTATAACATAGATCTTGAAGTTAGTATACCCAACCATACAAATATTCTTCAATATGCTGATGATGTTGTTTTATATACAGCAGGAAAATTGTTAAGTACCTGTGAGGAAAATTTAAAAGCCACATTAGAAATCGTAAATCAGTACTATAAAGAAATAGGATTATCAATTTCTGACACAAAAACTGAAGTGTGCTATTTTTCACAAAAACATAGAGTTCCACAAGGCAATCTTACTGTGGGAAAATTTAATTTCCCTATAAAAAACTGTATTAAGTATCTTGGTATGTATCTAGACAGAAAATTGTTATGGAAAGATCACATTCATCAAATTGTTAAAAAATCGGAAAACTCAATAAACATTTTAAGAGCTTTCTGTAAAACAAATTGGGGAGCAGACCCAAATATTGCTTTGATGTTTTACCGTAACATGATTAGGCCCATTTTCGACTATAACTGTCATTTATTTGGATCAGCGGCCAATACACATCTAAACAAACTTGAAGTTCAAAAAAATAAATGCCTAAGATTATGCCTAGGTTATTTAAAATCCACTCCAGTCCAAATAATGAAAAATGAAGCGGTGGAACCTCCATTGCATTTACGCCGCCAATTTCTTAACGACAAATTTACAGTCCGAATTATGTCCAAAAATTGTAAATACCTTCAAGATCTTAATGAGCTATCAGTTTTAGACCTTACCCATAGGTATTGGAGAACTAAAAAATCTATACCTTTGGTAGAAAGCTATGTAAGTACTGTAAAATACAACGATATTCTCTATAAAAGTCAAATTCCGCCCTACTATGGTGAAATGCCAAAACACTATTTTCTAGAAAAGTTAGGGTATGTTACTTAAACTCACAATTACTCCCAAATATGTTTGATATAATTATTAAAGAAAAATGGACAAATTATCACTACATTTTTACTGATGGGTCAAAAGATGCAAATGGAACGGGCTGTGCAATGTTCCACGAAAATAAAAATTACCATCATCAGTATAGCTTACCCAGCCCCTCTGTGGCTCAGTGGTAAGAGCGCCTGCCTTTAAACCTAAAGGTCGTGGGTTCAAATCCCACCTGGGTGGAAATTTTCGTTTATTAAAAAAATATTAATAAATGAAAATAATTTCTATCCTTGTGTGATCGGTACACATCGGAAGAACCGCAGACGTTCGGATACAATTAGCGTCTCTTAGCAAAGACAATGACGTCGACTTTGCTAAGTATCAAGACAATTACTCTACACACACACACACACACACACACACACACACACACACACACACACACACACTACACCTCAAATTGTACGATTGGCGAATGGATTTAGTGTCCGCAGTCATTTAAACACAAACAAACAACAACAAAAAAATAGCTTACCCAGTGAATGCTCAATATATACAGCAGAAATGACGGCAATATTGTTTGCTCTTCAGTATGTAGTACAAAATCCTACTAACAACTATGTTATATTTACTGACAGTAAAAGCGTGGTAGACAGATTTAACAACATACAAACAGTCAAACACATAAACCACATTGAACTGAAAATTCTTAAAATTCTTTATGAAACTATACAATTAGGATTAAATGTAATAATTACATGGATCAAGGGCCATTCGGGAATAAAAGGCAATGAGATCGTTGACAATTTGGCTAAATCGGCATATATGCTTGGAGTAAAAGTAAACAAAAATTTAATTCCAGCGACAGATATTGACACCGTTAGTAGACAAAAACTTAAAAATAATTGGCATTTACATTACACAGAATGTAAGACTGGCTTAAATTTTCATCATTGTAACACTAGGATACCCTCAAGAAGATGGTTCTACACAGAATCTAATCGACATTTATAAAGACCATTAATCGGCTGCGAGCAAATCATGCTCTTACGCCATCTTACATGCATGGAATCGGCTTATCAAATACTCCCAATTGTACTTGTGGCAAAATAGGCGATCTAACACATATTATATTAGAATGTGATTTACAAATTAATAATATAAACGAACTTTATAAGGAATTAATAAATTCTAAGTGTTGTTTTCCAATAAACTTTAACCTTTTAATATTTTCAAATAATATAGAAATTCTTCATTGCATTTACAAACATGTTAAAATGTGTAAATACAAGATGTAAATAGTATATAGGCATAATCTGTTAATATGGTTTAAAAAAAAATACACAAATTAAGAAAAAAAAACAAAAGAATTAAGAAAATAGATATAGAACACAAAAACAAAAAAAATAAATACAAAAAAAACAAAAAAAACAAAACAAAAAAAAAAGAAAACAAAAAAAGAAAACAAAACAAAAAAAGAAAACAAAACAAAAAAAAAAGATAAAAAAGATTAAAAAAAAAGAAACAAAAAAAATATATCAAAATATAATTTATGTATAAATATTAGTATATGTAGTACTAACATTGGTAATTTATAACAAGAAAATTTTGACTATGAATCTGCAATCACTAATAATTAAAATTAAATCGATTTTAACAATAAAAACAAACAAGTCTGGCTAATTGGCTCTGCCAAAGCCATATTACAAAAAAAAAAACTTTGGCATTTAACTTTTTTTCATAGCACTTGTAGTTTCGCCGAAAATCGCGATAAACATTCTACTATAAATTTTCCTTGGTTTAAAAAATTATCGACCCTGCTCTAGTAACATTATACAAAACTAGAAGAACATAGAAACGAACAAAAAATTATTAAAAGTTTACTGTCTGTATTCTAACAAGGTACCTACTACTAAGAACATTCGTTTTCAATTATATCGTGTCAAAACTGACATTTTATAAATTATACAAAAGTTTTAATTCCAAGATAATAAAAACCACAAGATAACAAATATAATAGATAAATTCATGGATAAAGTATAAGAGCTTTGCAGACTCTTTATGTAAGGCTGACATAGGTGATGTTATTCAATCAAAATATGTCGAATGTTATAACTCCATAACATATTTTAAACAAATCATATTAGATAAACAAAATAATAAAATTTATATTTACGAAAAGTAACTTCTTGAGTGTAAGAAAAGCTGATTTTTTCCTACTTCGAATTTTATTTCTACCACTGGAAGATGACGAATTTATTGTTATCAAGTCCATAGGTAATATTTTCACACACGAGAGACATTAATTTAAAAAATAAACGTAAAACCAGATTTCGTACCAAACGATTATATGGTATAACATACAATAACCAACTAAAGTTAAGAAAACTGTTATTTTGGGATCTGACAAATATACAAATAACTTACTGTCAGAATTGTCAAAATATTATTTATTCCTTGTTATGTTAGAAAATGCATTTGACATTTCAACTATTTGGCCAGCAGACATAAAAAAGATAGTAAGCGGGTCCTGTCCATCGAGCAAAAAGGCAAAAAAAGGAATCTAATCGTTATGAAAAGGAGATCAAAATTTATAAAAGTGGCCTCTTAATATGAAGGACATATCCGGAAATACAAAGGCGCCAAATTTAAAGTAGCTTTAAAATATTTTTTAGAATGAGTCTTAGAGTAGAAGTTTTAATTAAATAATAACGATAATAGTCTAAACTGTGACACAATTGTTAAAAAAACTTTAATATAAATAAGCTTTCATGTGGCAGTTGGGACAAACAATAACATAACCCAACTAAATTTGACTTCTTAAACAAGAAAAGTGACTCTCTTTCCTTATTTAATGTGGGCTCTTAAAATAGTACTTCACGTCTAACAATATTTTTGCCCCCACTACCTTTACATTCCCTCTTCTCTCTTTTTTCTCAATGGTCCTGTCGCAAGATATGACTTCATCTCGCCATGGTAAAGGTATGTAGTCATGTAATTAGACGAATATTATAATTGCTGCTGAATGTATTATTTAAACAATTTGAATTACACGTTTATCCCTAAACCACAGACCACTAATAACAGATGTAGGTGATTTGTGCCCTAAACTGCTGACATGGTGACGTGATATAATCTTGACATAAACCATAGATAAATAATAAAATAGTAGAAATAGATAGGCAACTCAATGTATAAATTTCATTCATTAGGACCCCTTGTGGCTGGGGTCAATACTAATCATCTTTTTCGGCAAATTCGAATGGACACCCCTTACATACATACCCTTTAGCGCCTCTTGCGGGCTATTTCGTTACTAATTAAAATTTACTGGAAAATAAGGATATATAAAAGATGCACAATTTTTTCTAGATATACGTATATTTATTTGTTGTTTAAGATAAAACAGTTATAAACTAAATGCATAATATTTATTACACATATTTTCAGAAACAAATGTTAAATACTATTATTGTTTGCTTCCTGACAACTTACTATCATCATCCTTTTTGTAATTTTTTCATGATTTGTACACAACTGAACAATACAATACTTCACCATGTTTAGTTTTTTTACTAGCACAACACAAAAATTCTTTGCTACAAAGGGTAACTTAAACTAAACTTTAAAAACTAAGTAACCAACTTAAATTAAAATTACTAAGAATAAATGCAAACGAAAGTTAAAGATAATAAAATAAAATTGAAAACTTGTAAACAAACGCAAGATCTGTCATTACTTTTGACAGAATTGACATTGCGGAATTAAGCTTCGTTTGATTATTTTATTGACACCCCGAGACTGTGTTAAAATAAATGATTGGTTAAAGTCTTTGTGAGAGAGATAGGCTGTCATTTCTCTTTATTAACTCGCTGGGGTTAAAGTGATGGGAGAATGAACCAGGTCATTCATATAAGATTCCAGGGCATGACATAAACGGTGACGTGAGGTCTAACCGTACCATAACTTTTTAAAATCATAAACAACCAATGAAAACATTAATTTGGTCTTACAATAAATAAAAAGTTTTAATACAATTTTATAAGTCAGAAAGCTGCCGGTCCAGATAACATACCTATTGAAATGATTTGGGCCCTAGATGACGTTGGAGTGGATATAATACATCAAATTTGTCAAACAGTGTGGGAGACAGGTAAATGGCCTGAGGACTGGACACAATCACTATATATTCCCATATATAAAAAGGGAGCGAAAGATTTATGTAGCAACTATCGCACAATTGCTCTAATTGCGCATTGCAGTAAGATACTCTTACACATAATTCTCGAGAGGATAAAGCCCTTTTTACTACCTAACATTGCGGAGGAACAAGCAGGTTTCGTCCCCGGACGTGGTACTAGAGAACAAATTTTAAACGTACGGCAAATTGTAGAAAAATCCAGAGAATTCAACATCACAACATATTTGTGCTTCATAGATTATAGTAAAGCTTTCGATTTGGTCAACTGGAGTAAAATGTGGCAGGTTTTGTCTGAAATGGGAGTCCCCAATCATCTGATACTGCTAATTAAAAGCCTGTACAATAACAATTATGCCAGAGTTAGAATAAATGGGGAACTAACCGATAGTTTCAGGGTCACAAAGGGCGTGAGACAAGGCTGCATACTAAGCCCAATTCTATTTAACATCTATGGTGAATGGATAATGCGGAAAGCTACTGAGGACTGGAACGGTGGCATCACCATTGGCGGGAAGAAGATTTGCAACTTGAGATATGCAGATGATACTACTATCCTCGCTAGTTCTGAAGCTGAATTGATTCACCTGCTACAACGGATAGAAGACGTAAGCTTAACGATGGGCCTTAAAATAAACAGAGATAAAACGAGAATCATGATAATTGACAGAGCTAACAACAATCAAAATCATCTGGTCATGATAAACAATATCGCTGTTGTAGATAAATTTGTGTATCTGGGCTCATTAATAACCAACAAAGGAGGCTGTACTGAAGAAATAAAGCGGCGGTCAGCAATCGCAAAAAGCGCTATGGCAAAATTAACAAAAATTTGGAAAAGCCATGAAATAACTACCGATACAAAAATGAGACTAGTAAGAAGTCTAGTTTTTCCAGTTTTTACTTATGCATCGGAATGCTGGACCCTTACTGAGAAAGACAAAAAGAACATAGATGTATTTGAGATGTACTGCTGGAGACGAATGCTGAGAATACCATGGGTGGCCCGAAGAACAAATGAATCCATACTGGACCAGCTAAACATAAAGAAAAGACTAAGAACACAAATATCAGAACAAATAATAAGCTATTTTGGACATGTGCTTCGAAGAAATGGTCTTGAAAAACTTACCATCCAGGGAAAAGTAGAAGGCAAAAGAAATAGAGGTAGATCTCCCACACGATACACGGACCATATTGTTGCTACCATTGGCGCTCCATTGGCGCTATGGCATTCTACATATGCTATTCATTTTTGTCTCCCCGTGCGTGCTGCACAGAGGACAAAGAGAATAACAGGTGGTATTTATACTATTTATTTGTATTTATTGTACCTTGTATATACCTTGTATAACATTTTATTTCCAATTAATGCCTAGTCAACGAAAATATTTAAAAAGTAAACTTATTTGGTATCAATAATTTCGTCATATGTGTATTGAACATTATGTATATCATTCTGTTTACTGTTGCTTAACGGTTTCAGGATAATCTGGAAAGATTATTATGGATTATAACTTATAAAAACAGCTTATACTAGTTGTGTTTCAAAATATTTGTTTGTTATTATCCCAAAATAACAATATTGTATGTATGTAATGTATATAAGGATATATATATATAATATATATATATATATATATATATATATATATATAAATATATATATATAAAAGTTTGGAATATTGGAATATTTCATCTTTTTATTGATTTTTATATATAAACTCTTCTGAATAGTTAAACATCATTTTGTTTAAATTCTCAACAATACTAAATAAATCTCAAAACCAGATCAACGATATACAAAAAAATTATTTATTCTCTTGGAGTGAAAAACTTACAATGTACAACCTCTTACATTTAAAAATAAATTAGTATAGAAAAAAATAAATTTTTAATAAAACCAATAATTAGTATTTCCTCCAATGGCCTGTATGCATACCTGTAGACGATTTGGCATGCTGCCGATTAACTGGTCGAGCTGGACTTGCGGAATTCTCTCCCATTCTTCACGAGCAGCATATTTTAGTTCTCGAAGTGTAATAGGGGGATTGTTTCGGTTTTGATGCGTGTTTTGAATGACTGCATCTCGGAATAGACGTACGACAGAATTTAAAACTTTCTTGATCTACACAGCACCGGTGACTCTTCTCTCTAGAACCAACAGTGGCGTCCGTGTACAACTCATAATACCACCCCAAACCAGAATACTGCCACCTTCAAATGGAACACGCGGTTGGGCTGTTTCTAGTCGGGCTTGTCGTCCTGGGGCCCTCAACTAGTGTTCTTCGCGAATCAGATACCAAGCCAATTTTTGACTCATCAGATAACATCACGTTATTCCAGTTAGGACCATGATGCACCATTTCTCTAGCCCATTGCAACCTTACTATTTCGTGTTGGTAGGTTAGTTCAGAAATTTATCTGGATATACCACTTGTAGATTCCAGACGATTTCTACGAGCTATCAATGTTATTTTCCGGTCTTGTGCTGCTGGTTGTACATCGACTTCTACCACTTCTGGGACGATCCTTCACGTCATTTGTATCTTGTAATTTTTTTAAATTTTCGATACGGAACTCTAACTAACATCAACAATATTCACGATATAACTTTGTCTAAAGCCCTGTTGTAACAAGGCAATTACTATAGATATGTCAAAATGAGATATCACGTTTCTAGGCATTTTTAAACGCTCAATTTAAATTTAAACAAAGACTGAAATAATGTGTAAATACGCTAATCAGTTGAATGTGACCAAAATCATACAAAAACGATTCAAATTTTTTATCATTTTTATTTAAAAACGCTCTAGAATAAATATCAATGACAATTTTAAAACCACCATAGGCTGTAGAGTAGTATGTATTATTTGTATCATATTCCAAACTTTTGGACATATGTGTATATATATATGCGTCTGCTGCTGGTAGTATGTAACTAGAAGACTGTGTCAGCTGCCGCTCTGTGAGTGATCTCCGGCTGTATTCCTTTACATGTGCTGGCCGGTGGAAGGTCACGATTCATAGTTTTAGGGGGCGGAACATTGAAGAGCAAGAGGTGAGTAAGATAAGGC